ACTGAGCCTTTTGGCCAATCACGCTTCCCACCTGCCCCTGCCCCACTTTCCGGGGACTCGGCCCCGGTCCTGCGGTCCCACCAGCCTCCTCAGCCCGAACAGCATCCTGTCGGTGTTCGGGTTTCTGCTCAAAGCTGCCTCACCTTGCTTTCCAGCCCATAAGCCTCGTCCACAGCCCTGTCTGTACCCCGGCCCATCGCCTGACTTCGGGTCTAACTCGAGTCTTGTCCTTGGCTGGGTCCTTTGCCACCTGGCATCCTGTGCTCTGCGCAGCTTCCCTGCCCCCACCCACATGTATAGCACCTCCCCTCAGCTGGACAACCAAAGATGTCTCCAGATACTACCATATCCACTTCTGGGAGCAGGACTGCCCTTGGGAGGATGGCTGTTCCACGCAAGGCAACGTGAATGAGGGCGTGGGCGGTGGGCCAGCCTGAGCTCTTCAGGACTTAGGGCCTGAAGGGGGTGATCCCAGGCGGGGCACCTCCCAGACCCCCTCCAGGGCTATAACTGCAGGCATCAGGCCACCAAGGAACGGGCAGTTTCCCAGAATCGGGGGCCGAGAAGACCGTGTCTATTGAGGGACACAGTACGTTGTCACACGAGGGGCCACTCTCCTGCTAAGTCCGCAAATCCTCCTCTGATTGACGCGTCAGTCTCTTACAAGTCTGGTGAATGTGAGGCAGCGCCTCCCTGGGGAGTCTCGACTACACCCCTAAACTGCAGGGAGACGAACGGGACCCAGTGAATGGGTCAGAACTGAGGTTTATTACAGGGAAACAGAGTATCCACAGGAAATAGGACACAGAAGCGTTCTGGGATGAATGGGAAGCAGCCGGCAAGGAGTGCAGAACCCAGGCAACACCCTTCTGGATTAAGAAAGCGCGTGAAGTGTAGACCATAGGAAGCAGGGTAAAAACAAGACAGAACAGGTCTCCAGACGTCGAACACACTCACCGAGGACTGAAGGAAAGTTCAACAGACGTGACTAGTTGGAAATTTACATTTCACGGGCCCACCGGCACCAGCTGTGCGAGCCTGTGTGCGAACAGTCCAGCGGCCACCTCGCCTGGCCACGTGTGGACAGGGCCACGCACCTCAGCAGCGGTGTAAGGAGAACCCCAGTACACCCAGCGCTCAAGCTCACCAGGAAACAAACACGTGTTCACACCGGAATGCCACGCGGGGAAGGCTGCAGTGACCTGGGGCACACGGGCTGGGACAGGGGGCGTGTGGGGCCCCCAGCG